TACGTAAACACTGGCGCCCCGGGGGTTCCAAATGGTAACAGTAATTGGTTAAAACAGTAAACTACGGTTATAAGGAACAAGGGACTAATTTCAGTTCGTCATAACCGTAGTTCGTCATATGCATTTCCACTGAAATATATAGCAAGTGGCCGTGACAATAAAATCTAGTTCGTTATATCCGTCAGTTCGTTATAAGCGTGTTCGTATAAACGTTGTTTACTATGTAATAAATATTCGTTATATCAGTCAGTTCGTTACAAGCGTGCTCGTATAAACGTGGTTTACTATGTAATGAATATTCGTTATATCAGTCAGTTCGTTATAAGCGTGTTCGTATAAACGTGGTTTACTATGTAATGAATATTCGTTATATCCGTCAGTTCGTTATTCGTTATATCCGTCAGTTCGTTATAAGCGTGTTCGTATAAACGTGGTTTACTATGTAATGAATATTCGTTATATCCGTCAGTTCGTTATAAGCGTGTTCGTATAAACGTGGTTTACTATGTAATGAATATTCGTTATATCCGTCAGTTCGTTATATATAAACGTGGTTTACTATGTAATGAATATTCGTTATATCCGTCAGTTCGTTATAAGCGTGGTTTACTATGTAATGAATATTCGTTATATCCGTCAGTTCGTTACAAGCGTGCTCGTATAAACGTGGGTTACTATGAAATGAATATTCGTTATATCCGTCAGTTCGTTATAAGCGTGTTCGTATAAGCGTGGTTTACTATGTAATGAATATTCGTTATATCCGTCAGTTCGTTATAAGCGTGCTCGTATAAACGTGGTTTACTATAATGAATATGTGTTACAAGCGTTTATAAACTGGGTTACTATGAAATGAATATTCGTGTTCGTTAATGAATATTCGTTATATCCGTCAGTTCGTTGTAAGCGTGTTCGTGTTTACTATATAAATATTCGTTATATCCGTCAGTTTACTAAGCGTGTTCGTATAAACGTGGTTTACTGTGTAATGAATATTCAATGATGTCGTTCAATCTGTATTCTCCATCCTCGATAATATCCAGGGTATACAATCCGATAATAGTGTCCCAGATAGCATTCAGACGTTGGCCCAACGTTGCCAATGTGGTAGTGGAGATTATCGAGGGTGGTATTCTCAAACACATACGCCAATACGTTTACTAACTGATGACACAGCAATTACATGTGAGTATATACCAAAAAGTATTTAACTCCGTTTGGGTATGTTGACATTAAATATACAACAGAGAGGACACAGAGAATATAATTATGTTCCTAAAAGCAATCCAAACTGCAGGATTCGAGGTGAGGTGCTGAGGTGAAATGAGGTTTAACGACGTACTTGAGAATATTTCGCTCATATGACGACGTGCATGCGTGTATATATATGTGTGGCTGTTTGTACTTGCCCAGACTTAAGCTGATTTTATAACGCTAGCTCACTGAGATACCATGCCGCAGTAAAGCATGAATACCCCACTCAGACACATTTTATTGACTCCGAGCTGACCAGTCCTTGTTGTACCCATTAATACCGAGCGCCAGGCAGGGACCAACAATTTTAACGTCTTTTGGTATGACGCGGCTGGGGATCGAACCCGCGACCTTCCGCTCTCCTGGCGGAGGCTCTAACCACTACAGGAATCGCTGCGAAAGTGGAAGTATATAGATCGACTTACACTGCGTGGGATTTTCCGGTATAATTGTTTCAGGTCCTGTAGTCGAGACTTAGTAGTGATACATCCCTTCGTCCTTAGACTTATACTGTTGACTCGAACTGGAGGTATATGAGCGTGATGATAAAACCTAATTAAGAACGGATCAGCAATAATAATACGATGATACATGTCCCCATGCTTTACATATTTATCGATCACGTTTTATGTTCTTCCGATTAGCTTAGTTGTTAATGTGTTCGCTCGCCAGGTCCGCGTTCGATCTGTTATTGCTAAGAACGGCTAAAAATCGTGCTCATTCTTTTTCACGAACTGTTGTGCTACTATAACACTGAAAAGAACCAGAAATTGAACGTGTATTTGTGTTAAAAATAAAAAGTTGAAAAATATATATCATATAAGATGCCGCAATTCGATTTGAAAATAACATCAACTGCCCAAACAAGGTTATGGTCCCTGAACGTGATGCTTGATAAATCAGCACTACACCCACGTGTATTTTACCTCACAATCTACTTCTCCTTAGCCTTGATTTTCGAAGCTCTTTTAGCGCTAAGGAAGTCGTAAGTTAATGTTAATGTATGGCACTTACGACTATCTTAGTGCTAACAGAGATTCGAAAATCTGAGCCCTGGGCTCTAATGTATGGCACTTACGACTATCTTAGTGCTAACAGAGCTTCGAAAATCTAAGCCCTGGGCTCAAATGTGTCACTTACGACTATCTTAGTGCTAACAGAGCTTCGAAAATCTAAGCCCTGGGCTCTGATTACCACCCACATAAGACTGACAGGACCAGAAATACACTTTCCAAAGCACAATTTATTTTGATTCCCCTTCGTTACTGCTAAAAACGTTGTCTGACCATTTTTTTAAAATCTCTTTCAGCATTTGTGTGGAAACGTTTAAGCTTCAGGCTCAATATATATAATTTTTGTTCAATATAATGAAACTGCATTATCATAAACCAGCAACAATAACGTACTCAATGTCCATGTTACCTAGATCATTGACATTCCTCGGCAGATTGATTCCATGATTCCACTCCGACTTACTTCTACGCTAACTCAATCTGTATTATGTACGTCAATCTAACAGTAAATGATGCACCCAATGAATACATTGTTTCAGATTTTGAAACGTTAACTGCCGGGCAACAAAAATAATGTTTGATGATGGTTAACTGAAACAATAAAAAAATAATCCTTCGATTATGTTATAGATGACACAGGCATCAGGGTTCAAACTTGTACTTGAGACCTTAAGTGTTCACGTCTGCGGCGACCATTTTCAGTCGTACGTCTCTGGACAAATTCACCATGAAGTTCCGGGTCCAAAGCAACCCATGCTTGTCGTATGAGGCGACTAACGGGATCGAGTGGTCAGGTTCGCTGACTTGGTTGACACATGTCCTAAATGCGTAGATCGATGATCATACTGTTGATAAATACTTTATCTGGTCCAGACTCGATTATTTACAGACCGCCACCATATAGCTGGACTATTGCTGATTGCGGCGTTAAACAACAAACAAACAAAAGAAAACAATTTAGTTTTCAAGTCATACTTTCTTTTGCCTGGCCGCTTTCTATATAACTACAAAATCTACACCAATACTGAGAATGAACAACAGACTCTTGTGAAACATATTATTAAGTGATGTTGGTTCCCCAAATAAGTCAAAAGTGTATGCTTTCCTTACCCCGACAGTTCATTAATTACAAAATCTAGTCATCTACTGATATAGGTATGGTGAAAAGACAACCCAGAAAACCGCAATCCCAGCTTGCCTCACCGCTACTACACAACACTGCCATATATTTCCAGCACAAATAATGATGAGGATATCAATATAACGTGGCTGTAGAGTGTCGGGGAGTACCGAAGCTAACGACGAGCCATCTCCTTGTGCCACATGGGAAATACTTCAACAAGCAAACTTAACACTGGAGTTACGCAAGGCTCCGTGCTGCCTCCATCAACCTTACCACGTTAAGAGGCAGCGGAGATTTCTTCGTGCTCGGTATATCCTGTTTTCTCGTACACTGGGCATGTTACTTCACAGTTACCTAAAATAACCCTCTCGTCACTTGTCTGAGACGTCCTCACTTTCGAGGCTTTCAATCGACTTCTCCATTCTGAGAATGTATGTACGTGCGTAAGAAGATATGATCGGCGTTACGCTTAATTCTATTTTTTCTACAGCGTTGGCGAAACGTTTAGGGAAATGTTCTGGTTTCAGTACATGTTTGTTAAGGATGAAAAGATTTAGAGCTTGCGTGAGGGAAACGAAAGCATCTGCTGTTGCCAGCAGTAAGAATTGAGGAATGTCTAATGGCTGTAGAAGTACCCAAATAATCAGGTACTAACTTTATCATGCTCCAAAGGACAAATAATTCTCACAGTCTTCATCAAGGACTATAGGGCGCCTAATAGTTTGTTAAAGTCGTCGATCGAGTTATAATTCTCCATATGGGAATACTTATGGAGAAACTTTGCATGCCTTCATGCTATTTATGAACTATCACAGAAGTGTAAGAACTCACGTCAGCCTCATGTGCTTTAACACTAATGTTATTGGTATATTCTAACTTTAATACGTTTTGAGTTGCGCATATGGCATACATTGGGACAGGTATGACCCGATCGTTTCAGACGCTGATGTACAGAGTTGCCTCCCTTTGGTGCACCAGTAACATCAGATCCATTGACAATAACGAATATAAGCCTGAGCTATAGCACGAAGGTGTTAACGTTCAACTATATACAATCAACAAAACTATTCATGAAAGTTCAATTTTAAGATTTCGACTTTAGTATAAGCATGCGTTTCATGGGGATCGTGAAAGGGTGTGCGTATCTTGTCCCACCGGTGACATCAGCCACAAACACATGCAAATCCAAGTAAATTGTTTAGTAGAACAAATACGAGCGTCGGGCCTAATTCTGGTCACATACGCATCAGAACTGGAAATGTCCTCATCGTTCTTTATAGCCCTTCCGCACTGATATTGCTGGAATATTGTTAAAAGCGGCGTAAAACTAAACTCACTCACTCACTCACTCACTTTATAGCTTTATGTTGCAGCCCTGAGGATACACCTTTTGAACCATAAGTCAAAAACATTGTGCACGTGTTGCCAAACAAAGAAATCGCTTTTCAAAACATTTATAGTATTGTTTTAATAAATAGTTTTGTTTTATTTTAGATATAGTCTCAAAACACGAGTGGTGGTGGTGGTAGTAGTAGTAGTAGTAGTAGTAGTGGTAGTAGAAGTAGTAATTGTTGATGGCATATAATGATCCATTTCGTTTTTATTTCCAGATGGGTGACATCGAAAGAGTCAAACCTGACTGTTTTCTGGTTGTGTTCTCTCTAACCGACATCACAACTTTTGAAATGGCCAAAACATTGGTTCGTCACATTCGAACCGACCTCGGCAACAACAGCGCCATCATCATGGTGGCCAACAAGACCGACCTTGTGCGGCGGAGGCACATATCTGAAAGAGGTATGATAAAGTTAAGGAACAAGTTAAGCTTTTTCAGGGGATAAAGTGTTCAGTCTACCTTTCTTGTTATCTAAAGGGTTTCAGTATTAAAAGATTTCCAAAGGTCATGCAAGGATTATCAGCATCAAACCCGTTCTCGCGGGTTTCGGGGGTGGGGGTGGGTGGTGGTGGTGGTGGTGGTAGCCTAGTAGTTAAAGCGCTTGCTCGTCACGTAGAAGACCCGGGTTCGAATACCCACATGGTACAATGCGTGAAGTCACCCGCCGTGACAGCTGAAATATTGCAAAAACGGTGTAAAACCTTACTCACTCGCTCACTCGTGGGTTTCATCAACGTCGTGAACGTCTTAAGACGTCTACATCCAACGGACACGCCGTAGTGTAAATGAAATAATGTTAAATCGGCTGCAAACCCAACACGCTCAAAACAGATCTTGTTATCTACAGAATAAGTTATTATCAGCCGTTAAAATCTGAGGGAATAATGTTCCCATATATAATTCAAACCCTCCAAAATATATGATCAAAAAATCATAACGTAATACTGTAAAATATTTACACACAAACTCAAACAACCCAACGTCAGTTCATTTTGTGAAGGTCACGTGTAGCGTGGGCGTTAGAACAAGATGGACGTCAATGAGATTAAATTCTAAACCGACATCCTCTAACTCGATCAGTTGCATTTTGGATGCTTTGTGCTACAACTGATGTGTTACTCAGAGTCATTTTCCCATTCTCCTGTCATTCTCCAAGTTCGGTAATTACCTGTGTGAATAATGAGCACTGTTGGGAATTTCTCACACGCAACGTAACACAGACCAACTCCCGCCACAGCCTTGTAAACATGGAGAAGTCCTGCTGTTATGATAGCATTAATCATTCTAATTTGCTAATGGGTGGATCTCTGGAGAGTCAGACATTCGTGTTCGTTGTTGATCATTTCTTGGGCCATCAAGTTAAACATATGCTGATGATATTGATGAGATTTAATGCCATTTAGTTGAGTTGCTGTGTTTTGATGTCCGTGTATATTCCCTTAATTGGTTGGAAGGACCGCCGGAAGCATTGTTTGTCATAAATATTGAATGCAAAACATGTTGGGAATATAATAGATTTTAGAACAAAAGTAAATTACAAAGGTTATCAAAACCTTACCAAAACACTGCTAACGTAAGGTTCATAACGTAACTATGATACCCATTATTTTATTTGCCTTATTATTTTATGTCATCATTAAGTAAACGTTGCCTGTTTCAGTTCAGCCAACCCCTAACATGGGTGTATATATTTTATGTTTTGTGACATATCGATTTCAGGGAATATATTAAGATAAAGTGTATTTTTATTTATGATTTTGTATAGGTTGATTAATGATATAACATTATTATTCTATGTAGTCTTGGGGCGGTGGGAAGCCTAGTGATTAAAGCTTTCGCTCACCACGCCGAAGACCCGGGTTCGATTGCCAACATGAGTGCAATTTGTGAAGCCCATTTCTGGTGTCCCCTGCCGTGCTATTGCTGGAACATTGCTAAAAGCGGCGTAAAACTAACCGCATTCATTCATGTTCTCTTGCGATTTACAACAGCAACAATTAACAATCCTGTTTTATCCACAGATGCCATTGCAATTGCCTCCAAATACGACTGCAAGTATGTGGAGATTTCTATTGCCTTGAACCACCGAGTGGATGACCTCATCGTTGGGATTCTCAGCCAGATCCGAATTCGGTTGCGACCTGACCGAGACAAGGCCCAGGACAAAAAGCTCAACAAGATGTCACGTCCCAAGAGAGTGATGACAAACCTTTTCAGCAAACTGTTCAAAATCGGCCACGCATCCGAAACGCAAAGATGCGAGGATCTCTTTTCTTGAACAATACAACTCATGTGGTGATGGTGATATTCAACAAATTTCGTTTCAGAATATCTGTTCAGTAGAGTCAACCCTTGGAGTATTTGTTCCGTGGCTGGATCTTCTTGGTGAAGATGTTCCACATCAAACGACAGTGACGTTGACGTTTCTGTCCACGTGGTTTTGTAAATTACAAATAGGATATCGTCGTTGTCAGTTTTCAGATAAATATTCAATGCGCTTTGGCCAAAAAATACCTTCTTTACCTTTTTTAAACACATTTTTGAGCTTCAATGCTTATGCAGCTGCAGTTGGATTTACGGTGGCAGTTTGAATGAACACTTGCTCAGATATTTTTGCAGTTTTCATACAGTGTGGATGTATTCCTGTGAGGCTGGTATGATAGTTTCAGTGCAGAGGATAACGTCCCTTGTGTCTTTCCCCATCTCCACAAAACACCATCAATACTGAACGAGACATTGACATCCTAGACACTCCAACAACTAACTGGTGTAAATAGAAGCTACTTCTCTCCTTTTACGGTTTTGATAAAATGTTTCTTTGTATGTTTGCCTAAGTTGTCTTTTTTCCTGGTTTTCTATGATTTTCTTCATTTTTCGTTTTATCGTATTCATAAAAAATATGTATATATAACCCCTCTCTTTTTCTCCCTTGAAGATATTCCATTGTTATTGTTTAGATTGATGGACCCCTTTGGCTTCTGGGGATGAAGAGACAGATATGTAATCAAATTTTAAAATTAAAATTCTGATCTTTAGTTTTACGTTCTTTAAACAAGAAGGGGTGAAAACTCTTTCCATTTTCATTTTCCATCGGAGTGTGCTGTTGGATCGAGACGGAATATTCAGGTTTGATTTTCAACATTCATTTTGCTGGTCAACACTATCAAGTTGTTATTGCGATGAAATATTTATTTGTATATTTATCACCATCACGTTCGTCTTTGGTTGCAATTATTGTATTCAGATACATATAATATCCTTTGCGATGCCACGTGTTACCTTCTATTCCATGTTTTGATTGCTTCAATATTTTTACAACCAACTGAATTATTGATGTCATAATTTACTGTTCACATCTGCCAGGAGTGATATCAATATCAGTTTTCGATATCAGAAATTTGAAATTCGATTTATTGAAGAAAAGGGAAAGAGGAAGTGATCCGTTTCGAGGTATGTTTTGTTTTGTTTTGTTTCTTATTTAACGCTTTGCTCGGCATTAATCCAGAAATATCACGATTTAATTAATCGAAACTGGTCCAGGCTCACCTAGACTAAAAACTCGTCTCTGAAATGAACATATTTCACTGAAAAAAACGTTCATAGTAAAAAAATATACATATAATGAAAAGGAGCCCTGAGACTTTCTTCATTTTCAGAAGCTGAGGAAATCTAGACTTGCCACATTTTATAGACTTGCGTGGGCTTTCTTGGATATATTTGCTTCAGGGTCTGTACGAGAAACTAAGGCTCACCCAGTGAAAGATCTTACGAGCATCGTCATCAGGACGTTGTGAAAAGTGGAGCACGAGTGGTCCATTCCCGAGGTGAAGCAGAAAGCAATATTTGTTTGTTGTTTAACACCGGACTCAGCAATATTACAGCTAAATGGCGGAGGTTTATAAACATTCGAGTCTTGACCAGACAGTCTTGTGATCAACAGCATGAGCTTCGATGTGCCCGACTGGGATTGGATAACAAGTGTCAACCAAGTCAGCGAGCCTGACTACCCGAATCCCGTTGGTCACCTCTTACGACAAGCATTGGTGTGGTGGGGTAGACCAGTGGTTAAAGCGTTTGCTCGACACCGAAGAACTGTTCGATTCTTACAAGGGTACAATACCTGAATGCCATTTCTGGTGTCCCATGCCGTGATAATGTTGGAATATTGCTAAAAGCGGCGTAAAACCATTCTCACTCATTCAGTGTTCTTATCTGGAACCCCGACGAGGTGCTCTGTGTCGATGGAAAACGGTATGACACAGTAATCTGTGGGTGTCAGTGTGAGAGTCACGTTTGACACTACCAAAAGTATTTTACTCGAATCACCGCTCAGCCGCCTAGGGATGGAGCAAATAGCAAACAGACGCAAGTCATAACTATCCAACACTTTGATGTAACCCACTAGACTAACGCTTAGTCTCTGAATATGTATATTATTATTTTGATAGTAACATTTAAATTGTAACGGAGCCCCAGTGAGATGGGAAATCTGTAGACTTGCTTTATTTAGGGCTTAGTAGTATACACAATGGGGTACGGGACTAGGTCCTCCCAAGGGCTCAATTTTTTCAGAATTTCGAATATCGTTTATTTGCTAGAATTTGCTTGAAGTTAAGCAAAATTCAAGCAATATTCTAGCAGAAAACCGATGTTCGAAATTCTGAAAAAATTGAGCCCTTGGGAGGACCTGGTCCCGTACCCCATTGTGTATACTACTGGCTTTAACATTTCAGGGAGGGTTAGGCAGTAGGGAAAATAATGTGGTTCAGGGATTGTGAGACAGACTGCATTGGCAGTTGCCCTTTCATGCTAACAAACCAAGGGAGGTAACTGGCGTCAATGTTGAGCGAATGGTCTGACTTTGTAACGACCTGATGGTTGTACCTACTGACACATATACCAAACCAACAGACGGCCAGTGTCAAATATAGCCTTCCAGTTAAAGCTGGTACACATAGGTCATGATTCGGTGCGAATGTACGTTAAGGTGTGCAGAAACAATATCGTTCTTATTTTGACTGAACGCTGAAAACGTGATCCATGCCAATAGCCTACGTTTAATTGTTGGTGAAAACTGGCGATATCGTGACAAGAAACTGCCAGTTGCCTTTTCTCAGTGTGAACAGCAATTTAACGTTTTCGTATGTTATTTTGAATATTTACCCATGAGAGTAACCCATTGAATGTTTATCAATACGCTGGGTATATGATAACGTTGTTATATATGCAGGCATATACGTTATTATATATCCAGGCAAGGCGCTAATGGGATGCAAATAAAACAATGATATGTGTTAATGAGACAATATTATGAGTTTGTTTATGAACATTGTGTTAACAGCAATACGATAATAAATCATACATATGATACATGATGAAAATCTCAAAACGTTGCTGACTTTGGTTAATTGAATATGGTATATCATTTATCTGACATTTTGTGGACTTTTGTGCTTCACATTTTGTCCAATGTTTGGCGTCAAACAGGGATGGCATTTCGGACAACCTCCTCTAACCCATGTATCTATTCACGTGGTTCTGTAAATGGTACATTACCTGCTTGTGATTTACATTGACATTTTACTGTCCAATTGAACGACGCCATTAGGAAATGGGAAAGGGGTAACTCATGTTACCTTGAAACAGCTGACGAGTAAGTCGAAGACATCGGCTTCTTCGAAAAGATTTTTTAGGGCTTTCATTTGTGTGTCAGTCAGTTTTTCAAAATAGAAATTCTTGCAAACACGATTATGATGAAAGGGACTGGCCTTCATATTGTAGCTATTGTAACACTGATTCTGGTTGGTACCATAAACTACGGTTAATACGAATTCAAAGATCCACTGAATACAATAACGTTACAACCGCTGTACGCATTTCGACATAAACATACAGCAGGTGGCCGTGACCACAAATACCATTTCCCTACATCCATCTGTTCGTTATAAACATATTCGTTATAAACATGTTCGTAATAAACGTTCTTTACTTGTACGTTATCGAACGTGTACGTACCTGTGCATGGCCGAGATAATGCAAGCGTTTATAACGCATGCCAACTGAGATTTCACATGTATACTCCACGTATCCTGTCAACAGAGTACGGTGTACTAATTCCGAACCAACCAGTCGTTGTTTCACCCGATCAATGCCGAGTTTAAGGCAGGGTAACAACAAGTTGTTTCACCCGATCAATGCCGAGTTCAAGGCAGAGTAACAACAAGTCGATGCACCCGATCAATGCCGAGATCAAGGCAGGGTAACAAGTTGTTTCACCCGATCAATGTCGAGTTCAAGGCAGAGTAACAACAAGTTGTTTTACCCAATTAATGCCGAGTTCAAGGCGGGGTAACAAGTAGTTTCACCCGATCAATGCCGAATTCAAGGCAGGGTAACAACAAGTTGTTTCACACTATCAATGCCGAGTTCAAGGCAGGGTAACAACAAGTTGTTTCACCGGATCAATGCCGAGTTCAAGGCAGGGTAACAAGTTGTTTCACCCGATCAATGCCGAGTTCAAGGCAGGGCAACAACAAGCTTAAGTTGTTTCACCCGATCAATGCCGAGTTCAAGGCAGGGTAATAACAAGTTGTTTCACCCGATCAATGCCGAGTTCAAGGCAGGGTAATAACAAGTTGTTTCACCCGATCAATGCCGAGTTCAAGGCAGGGTAACAAGTTGTTTCCCCCGATCAATGCCGAGTTCAAGGCAGGGTAACAACAAGTTGTTTCCCTCGATCAATGCCGAGTTTAAGACAGGGCAACAACAAGCTTAAGTTGTTTCACACTATCAATGCCGAGTTCAAGGCAGGGTAACAACAAGCTTAAGTTGTTTCACACTATCGATGCCGAGTTCAAGGCAGGGTAATAACAAGTTGTTTCACCCGATCAATGCCGAGTTCAAGGCAGGGTAACACGTTGTTTCCCCCGATCAATGCCGAGTTCAAGGCAGGGTAACAAGTTGTTTCACCCGATCAATGCCGAGTTCAAGGCAGGGTAACAACAGTTGTTTCCCCCGATCAATGCCGAGTTCAAGGCAGGGTAACAACAAGTTGTTTCCCCGATCAATGCCGAGTTCAAGGCAGGGTAACAACAAGTTGTTTCACCCGATCAATGCCGAGTTCAAGGCAGGGTAACAACAAGTTGTTTCACCCGATCAATGCCGAGTTCAAGGCAGGGTAATAACAAGTTGTTTCACCCGATCAATGCCGAGTTCAAGGCAGGGTAATAACAAGTTGTTTCCCCGATCAATGCCGAGTTCAAGGCAGGGTAATAACAAGTTGTTTCACCCGATCAATGCCGAGTTCAAGGCAGGGTTACAACAAGTTGTTTCCCCCGATCAATGCCGAGTTCAAGGCAGAGTAACAACAAGTTGTTTCACCCGATCAATGCCGAGTTCAAGGCAGGGTAATAACAGCTGTTTCCCCCGATCAATGCCGAGTTCAAGGCAGGGTAACAAGTTGTTTCACCCGATCAATGCCGAGTTCAAAGCAGGGTTACAACAAGATGTTTCACCCGATCATTGCCGAGTTCAAAGCAGGGTTACAACAAGATGTTTCCCCTGATCAATGCCGAGTTCAAGGCAGGGTAATAACAGTTGTTTCCCCGATCAATGCCGAGTTCAAGGCAGGGTAATAACAAGTTGTTTCACCCGATCATTGCCGAGTTCAAAGCAGGGTTACAACAAGTTGTTTCCCTCGATCAATGCCGAGTTCAAGGCAGGGTAATAACAGTTGTTTCCCCCGATCAATGCCGAGTTCAAGGCAGGGTAATAACAAGTTGTTTCACCCGATCAATGCCGAGTTCAAGGCAGGGTAATAACAAGTTGTTTCACCCGATCATTGCCGAGTTCAAGGCAGGGTTACAACAAGATGTTTCACCCGATCAATGCCGAGTTCAAGGCAGGGTAACAAGTTGTTTCACCCGATCAATGCCGAGTTTAAGGCAGGGTAATAACAAGCTGTTTCCCCGATCAATGCCGAGTTCAAGGCAGGGTAACAACAAGTTGTTTCCCCCGATCAATGCCGAGTTCAAGG